TCACCAAGCGTATTATCGCCGAGTGTTATGTGCCCACTTGTACTGAATCCGTTCTGCCTCAGTCCGAGCATTTTATCACCTACTGCTCTCACTGCAGTTGTTCTCAGCCCATTTGTCCTGTCACCAGCTGTTTTTTCACCAGCATACATTGCTGCGACGATCTTTTCACCGAGCGCCCTTTCACCAACGATCAATTCAACTGGAGAAGCAACAACCTCTGTTTTTTCGCCAAGCATTTTCAGCCGATTGTAAAATTTTTTTTAGCGAACGAATTGATTATGATCCTCACAATTTTGTGTCTTTTTCTGGATACTGTAAATGTAAATAAAAACTGAGCAGCCTTGCTACTACCAGTTCGGAACTGTAGAGAGACATATTCTCCATAGCATTCACAACAATGCCAATGTTCAACGAACATGTAGGAAGTACAAAAAATACATTCGTAGGCATGGAGTCCATCCTCGATAAACAAACACATCGCATGAGACGGAACAACAAAGCTTCAGAATTGCTTTTAGCGGTGGATTTTACTACAGATCACGTCTGCATCCTTGAACCGCGTGCGTCACGAATGACGCAGCGCCTACGAATGTCACAACATGGCGTAGATGGAGCGGCAACGTTATTCAAATTAATGAGGGCTTCCCAAATTTCGTGCTATCCAAATCAGATGAGTTGGGAACGCCTTGCTTTTAAACAAAAATACTTCGAAAAAGGGACCATCGACCAGCCTTGCCAGCAGATTGCTGCTGTTGGCGAATGTTGCCTTCAAGTGCTTTCGCTCTAGCAGAAAAGGAAATGCGCTGGGGGCTTTGGTTTATGTTCTACCTGTTGGACAATTCGGAAACTGTCACAGTGGGCAGAAGGTAATAATTTCTGTGAAACATTTACATAAATTTGGCATTTCACATGAAACATTTGCAAATCCGCCGAAATGGCATGCAAATTCGCGAACGCTTTCCAAGTCTGCCTGTGAATTCGCTACAAAAATTTAATTTTTGATGAAATGATCCAGTGTTTGCGGACGACGCGGCGTAAGCAGCTGCATGGAAAGTATCTGCTTGCCCCGGCTGAATCGCATTGAGCGGGGGATGACGACGTAATCATACGGATGGTGTAATTGCGCACAAAAGAATCTGCAAGCAGCTGATGAAGGATGGTGCGCAGTTTCAGGCACATGAGAATTGACAGATGGAAAGAAGAGAACTGTAAGGAAGCCGCCGTTTCGGACTGCTCATCATGGATCCGGCTGAATGATTGCTCTTAAAATGTGCTGTTGGGCGTACATGGTTATAGAAGGAAGCCAAGAAATCCGCCAAAATCGCGTGACACTGTGCGGTAAATGAGCCAGAGTAGGCAAAAGGACCGCGAGAAAACCGCAATTCGTCAAGAACAAAAGAGTTGAGATGCGAAGACGAAGTGTTTGTGGATTCCGGTACCACCATTGTCTGCAAATTTGCGTTACAAGCGTTCTTCGAACGGAATGCGTTTGGATCGGTATTTTTTGTTATGCAAGTTACATTGAGTGCCTAAGGAGATGAGAAAAAAATTCACTGCGGACTCTGAAAATTCCGATACAGTAGCGCTTACAGTTGACTAACATCGTTGATTTTGAAAATGTCGGAAGAATTCGAAGAAGCGGAAATGTCCTGAATGTGCTTCGTAAGCTGCTGTGATTTTTATTGCAAATTATGAAAAGCTTAGAAAAAATTAACTAGCAAGAAGTTTTTGAAGTTGTGCTAAACAATTAGCTTTAAGTACTTTTCTACTGTTGATGCTGTCCAGAAAAACGGAAAGAGAACCGGATGAGTTCTTCGCCAAACACGGCGAATTTATGATGGACACTTGAAGATAGCGAACATAATGGAAAATTTATTTTTGCTAGCTCACTGCTGGCTGTGCGCGAAATTCAAAAAAAAAA